GTACAGGAAGCTACTAATGACTCCCTAGAACACCATAGGGCGGTCTTTTTCACGCTCCATAATCACACCCTTAAGAGGCATTGATGGGAGCTCCACTAAAAAATCACACCTTAAGAGGCATGATGGAGAGCTCCACTAAACAATCACACCTTTAAAAGGGATGATGGAGAGCTCCTTGAGGGCTCTCCAATCATGCCTCTTGGGGTGTGATGATGAATCATGACCAATCCTCAGTCTAGAGTGAAATCCAAAACGAAAATTGGGATGTCATGTCAATCTACTGATTATCATTCATCTTCACCTTCATTCATTCAATGGCTTCGTTAGGATTACACTTCTTTCATCCAAACAACCCAACACTAGCACACAGATTAATAAAGGAGTATCGGATGTAAAAATAAACTTGTTTTATTTATTCTGATTTCCATCCTTAGAGATTCTAATCATGTTACCTGCATCATTTCAGCACAAATATCATCACAATCCATCAACAAACTAGCCAAATTACTTGTACGTAGTAGCCACGTATGTAGCCCCTCCAGCCCTACGACTGTTTCACGTCGGCAGAAAACCAACTTCTCGCCACGTATCGTAGAAAACGAGCAGGTAACTTTGGGCATACCGTATAGGTACCTGTATTTGGATGCTGTTGCTTTCGTTGTATTTATGATATATATATATAAACCAGAGGTAGTACCAGACCGTGTACCTCTGCCAGTACGTTCAGTGTACTTACACACCAAGATTGTTTGTGTTGTTGCTAACCTTTTGTACCCCCTACATTTGAGAACTCTATGGAGCGCTATTTCAACATAAAGTAACATACTTTTGCCGTGCGCGATTTCAACCACTTTTATGAGGGCGATTGATGCGCGCACCACAGCACAATTTCGGGTGCGCGGTGGAGCGCCGAGGCGCGATCGCGCGCCCTTAAAAATGAAAGCTGCTACCTGATACGACAACGACCCCTTCAGCATTAATGTTCGTTATGATATGTTTATTATGTTCGAAGTCAACTGAAAAGGTTACTTTCTGCCGCTGAATTATTTTTACATACATACATAACAATTCAGTTGATAAAAAATGTTTATAACGACTTGCGGTACCTTTTATTCTTGTATTTATATCTCAAAAGAGTATAGGCATACTTATCCATGAACCATGCCACCAAGTGTGAGTTTTTGCATCTACTCGGTCATGAAGTTTAATTTCAGTTTTAGAATTTTCTACAGCTGTGGGTTTTCAGGTGCTGGTGCCCGACGCTAGAAACCACGGCCGCAGCCCACACACTCACTACATGGACTATTCGTTAATGTCTGAAGATATTCAGCTGCTGATGAGACGGGAGGGAATCTCACAAGCTGCTATAGTAGGACACAGTATGGGTGGACGCACTGCTATGGCACTCGCACTTAACAAGGTCTCTTGGCTATAGGCTAACATTTAATGCAACGAGTCAGTACACATGCACAGCCCTCTCTATTCCACTGCTTATAGCCACCTATAGAATTTCAGGGCCGTAGCCTGTGGGGGGGGCAAGGGGGCAGCTGCCCCCCTAGATTTAAAAGATGAAATAGATAATTAAAAAAATAAATTGTTCTACTAAAAGAGAATTGTCATAGTCAGAATAAAGGCTGTGCATGTACTCAAAAGTGCCTCAAATACAATCTCCTGCTATCTACATTATCAAAATTTTAGTCCCCAACCCTCCACCTGTTTCTCACCCCCTCCTTGAAATTCTGGATCCGCCACTGCCCCACCTAGGAATTTGCTCAGCCTACAGCCCTGCATTTACTACTGATATGCCCTGCATATATATGGTGCTATGGAGACCACCTCTGGGTATATAATCAATAATTGAGTAGGTTGGTAGCTGGTTCATTTAAATTTAATTGAAAGCTTTGTGAGTGAGAATATAAATTGTGTACAGTTTTCTTGTTCACATGTTCTGTGGAGTAACTGCATTTCTTACTATAAATTTTTATGTATATATACTATATTTTTAGAATTCGGCGGTGGAGCGACTAGTGGTGGTGGATGTGGCACCCACAAGAATGGAGGCAGGTACCTTCTCACCTGAGTACAGGCAGGCTACGCGCAGAGCCACACTAAAGGGAACTTCCTTGTCAACTATAAAACATGCTCAGGAGGTGGAGCGAATTTTAGAGGTATTTTTTTACATAAACATTGTCTCTTCCTATCAATTATCAAGTAGAAAGACATCATTGTTACAGAATAAATTCTTTCACTCACAAACCATGTAGATTTTCATTGATTTGTATTCAGTTTATGAATTCAAACTATGTGAAATTATAGTTCGCAATTCATATGCCAATGCGTTTTTCTGTTTTGCATTCCTTATCACTTCCAGCCACAATTTTGTGGAGACAATTTGCAAACAAAACTGCATACTCGCCAGTTAACGTTATTACTACATTTCTACTCAAAAAGTGCTGTACTTATACTGTATTTCTTCACAGACTCCATCTAACTTCCCTGAATATGTGAAAGCACTCTTGCAAGTAAGGTTTGATGGGGAACCAACTCTACTGGAGGCAAGGCGATCAGCGTCAGATCAGATAGCTTGGGCCGTCGAGGTGTGTAATCGTCATAGAAACATTGTCGTGTACATATAACTACAGACTGCAGAAAACATTATCAACATCACACTCTCCGAGTTTTAATACATAACCTCGCTTAGTGCACTATTGTTTCTAATTTCAGAATGAACTCATACGGGCATTTTTGGTGACAAACGTGACAGAAGAAAACGGCATTTATGGCTGGAAATGCAATTTAAAGGCCATTGCTGCCAATCTCAACCACATAACAGCATTCACGTCATTCAACCAGCAATATAGTGGCGACACTCTGTTCATAGGTGGCGGAAATTCCGCGTATTTCACGTAAGTGACTGGTGCGTGTGGCTATTTATTTCCTACATGGTAAAATCGCAGAAGGCTATTATTTGTTCATAGAGCCTGCAGTAATATGTAACAGTTGCATCTAACAAAATTTATGTAGGGTTATGTTAAAGGCATACTAGGCCCATTGATTATGCAATGTTGACGAATGCTAGAGTAACTGGCACCTTGTGTAGTTAATAAGTACATAACCTTACATCTAAACGCATATTAGTTTGTCTAATATCACTGCTGGTTACATTACAAACAAGACTTGAAATCAGTTGTTGATATTCATTTACGTGCCGTTTAATGCCCATCCGTTCGTTAGCATCAGAATAATGCATATTATTCATTCTCTGGGAAGATCTGTTTTTACAATACACCGTGTGAATTTGTTTACATCCAGTAAGGCAGACTACCCGGAGGTTTATCGTCTGTTCCCGAGAGCCCAGATTGTAAACATAGATGGCGCTGGCCACTGGGTTCACTATGACAAGCCACATGAGTTCATGCAGCATCTTATAAGCTTCCTGAATGCTCCGAGTGATCAGCTACAAAGCACGTAAGCACGGTGGAACGTGTGAATGCAGAGAGCTTCAACATGAGCCCACCATTAGGTAATGTAGTTTTCTCATACGTATTGTCAGTACAGCTGTGCATGGACTTGTCTGCTATCACTGCGATGCCATGAGTCGTAAGATGTTGTAGTGATGTGATAGTGCTGACGGAGTTTCACCTGCGAACCTTCTTCTGCTAAGAATGCCAAATTTATGCATTTTTAGTAGAATTGCTACTGCACGTTACTGCTGCAGCGTTATAGGTGGTTACTGGTGCGAACTTTTGTAGAAAGGAAGCACCAGCAGGCATGATTGCCATGGCAACCATAGTGTTCCAGATACGGACACAAAAAAACTGCTGGATTTCTGTAAAACGACTTTCTCTTTGTTCTTGCGAAACACGCGTCCGTCCACGTTAACGGCTCAATCCGCAACAAAATAACAGGTGT